GCAATACTGAGTCAGTGCTGAAGATGATCCAGCACAGAATATTTTACAGTCTGTTTAAAAAGTCTTTCTGGGAACGGCTCAATTGAATGAGGCTGACATTCCACCCAGCCGCCTGCGCAGGCTTCGACACCAGCCTGGGATGAATTGTTCAGAGAGGTTTGAACTTGTCATCTTTTTATATAGTACTGGCGTGCCAGTGAAGGAAGTACGCCATTGTTTCAAAAAGCCAGTTAATCACCTTAGACCTTGAAGCAGAAGCTATTGCCAAATTTTAACGTGCAGTTGAAAACGCAAATCAGGCATGTTTTTGTCCAAGTTTTTAAAAGTCTGACTGCCTCATTCTGTTCACTGGTTTTGGTCTGTTGGGGTCCTCTACCACACGATGCTGATTTTCACACACTAATGGCAAACTAATCGGAGTAGCATTTCTGTTTGTGAATTTTTATTTTGTTGACTTGACTTTATAAGGTTGCACTTCGGTTTTGGCTTAGCATAAAGGAGCACCGTACTCAGTGTCACATGAAATCTTATATGCTATAATTTTTCCCCATTTTTTCCTCCTTTCAGGGTTGAGCAGCAGGGAAATATAATTATCTGTAGGCTTAATGAATCCCCAAGGCCATGAAAAAATCATTACAAAATTGTGATGAAAGTTCAGCATAGGCAGTGAAGCTGGCCTACATGTCATGGCATTGCACCGTGGTTCTCTTCAGTTTTGCTAGCCAGATTCTAGCTCCTGAGAAGACATCTGTATTGCAGGCCTAGGGAAATACTTCCTGCTAGAGGATGGTAAAAAACCTGCCAGGTTTTCAGCAGGCTATAAATGAAGAAGCTCTGTTTAAAGTTTGGAAGATCTTCAGCCAGCACAGCACATGTGGAGCAGGATATATTAACTAGAACTAAATCAATGAGACAGTGGTAGGCTTATTAGATTTTAAATCACACATTAACTTGTCCCTTGTGGTCCTTTCGTATATGTTAAGTCACAGACTCCATTTCTCCACTCTCTTTCTTTGCATTTCAAGCAAGACATGAGAAACCGCACAACCTTTTCTGGACCTGCTCACAGTACAGCAGGAGCAGCCATTGCTCTGCCTAGCCACAAACACCAAAAACATCCATGATCACTTAGAACAGCCTTCTCGTTTATACTGTGCTATTTGGTCTTGGTCTACTGGTATGGTCTTAGAAAGCGGTTCTGTTTTTTTTAGGAGTTTGGTTAGTTGTTTTTTTTTTTTTATAGTTGTCTGCATTCATAAAATCAAATGTGATCATATTAACATTCATTAGAAAGCATGAAAAATAATTCCTCAGTAGCTACCTAGAAATTTGGATAGCATTTCTGCAGGCCAACTGTTTCCTTAGAACACAAGGCTAAGAAACAGAAGAGTGAATCCAGAGCAAAGATAGCAGGATTATTTTAGGGTTGACTGTCATGATTTCAGTATGATTCGTGCACCTAGTAAAACTCTTTTTTTCATTGCAGAAGATTGCAGGCAATTTAGTTTTACTGTCCAGTTTCTATAAATGGAGGGACGGTGAGAAAAAGACTTCATCCCGCCTCACAGTTCTACTCCCTGTTCCCCCTATATATAATGCATTGCTTCCCTCTGAGCATGAGAGCACAAGAAAAGACCTTGCTCCTCCTCCTGCCAACGGGTAGCCTTTAGCAGAGAAGGATCTTTCTGCTGTACTGCAAGGGAAGGGAGGGAAAAGAGCCACACAGAGATGTCAGCTCTGGTTAGACCCAGCAGCTCTCACACTGCCCTTCTGGCATGTAAAGCCACCTGCCTCCCTCTGTTTCCCAGAAATGGAAATTTGGACCACCAGTGGCCACTAAACCAACACCTGACCCAAAACTTTAATAATCTGAATCATATTAAAGGGTAGGGCACATTTTGGGAATCAGACGTTTAACTTCTATGTTTATATCTCTGCTAAGTGTCCAAACTCCCATTACTGTAAAGAAAAATCTAGTTGATACAGATCCCTATGAAGCCTGAACTTCGATATCTCAGATTGCATCTGAACCTCATCCCAGATGTTTTACTAGATGATCTTTAAGGTCCCTTCCAAACCAAACCATTCTATGATTCTATGCCCTATGTTTGATGCATTTAAAATGGGGCTATAGGGAGTCAGCCCCTATCTCAGACCCCAGAGCTGGAAGCCTCTTCCTGAGGGTCCTTTGGGTGTCTCTGACCTTCTGCAAAGTGCATCCTGTGCACCCTGCTCAAGGCAGCATGGCAGACTGAGCTGCTGCTTGGTGAACGGAGTGACAGTCACAGCCTCCTTAACCCCAGGAGGTCCTTATGGGACCCCAGAAACAGGTCACAACGCACAGCACATGGGACGTTTTCAGGGAAAGCAAAACCTTGCCCCTTTAAGTACATTCTCTGTTTCCCTACAGGGGAGTAAAATCCTCTCCTCTGCAAGTAGCCTTGACGCCTAGCTGAGTTCTCTACCCCTATTACAGCGAGCTACAAAACAAGCACATTATTGCAGGTCTTGCTTCCACGGTCCCGGGTCTTTCCTTGTGTTTACCAGCGGGAAGCAGTTGGCTGGCAGCATGCACCAATGTCTGTGTCCAGCCATTTACATCATCCTTTTAGTGCTCTTGTCACAGCCACAACGGTATAAATTAAAATGCCTGTTCCTTCTTCTACTGCCTTTGGGGCGAGAAAAATATTCCTGAAGGGTACAGTTTCACGACAGATTGCCTACGTTTTTTTCCCCTCAGAGGGGACAGAGGGGAGGTTGGGTGCAGCCTCGTCATGTGGAACATCTACTTGTTCTCACTGTTGCCATGGCGACTGAGCCAGCTGGCTCTGAAAGGTGCATGGTACCCAGCACCGGGACCTTCAAGCAAGAGGACGGGTAAGAGGGAGGGGGAGAGAGGCAGCATCCTTACTTTAATGCGTTGTGGGCAATGTTTTCAGCTGGCGAGCTTTCAAAATACAGGCCATAAAGAGGCAACAGGTCACCTACATCAGTCAGACTTCACCACTGTTCTCCAATAATTCAGTTTTGAGGATTGCACATATTGCAGTATAGTTGATGACTATGTATTCGGAAATGCTAATATGTATACACAGTATACCCGTTAAGGTAAGTGGCTCACTCTGTCTCAGACTTGTCCTTTTTGCAATACGGGTCCCATGCAGTACTGAACAACATGAATTTCAGCATCACCTCCAGGTCTGTATCCTATTTCTGTCATGGTCTCAAAATCATGCTGCACTGGCACAAGCCAGAAAAAATATTTGCTTACAGCTGCAAGAACTTGCAGGAAAATGAGCTCTTTCAAAATAATGAGCTATTAACCCATGTCACTGCTGCAGAGGCATTGCAGTGGTGTCAGTCACTGGTGTGTCAATAAATAACAAGGAAAATTAGAAGTGGATGTAAATTTGTTTCTGTAGATAATTAGTCTTTGATATAAACTGGAACAAGCCTGAGTAACTGGATGAAAACACAGTTGTGCTGAATTTGGCTCGACAGAAAGGAAAGCAGAGGTCCTTAATTTAGGTTCTCTCCCTAGTTAGCACTATTCAAATGCTCATTATTTTGGTCCGAATTTAGCTTGGCAAGTGTTTTCCGAAGATATTTCCAGAGCAAGTAAAATCCTTTCACCAGTCGGGAGAGGAGGGAAGAAAGGCAGACTTACGGATCAAAGGCTGCTAGCAAGAAGTTGAGCAGCAAGCTGATGGATTGCTCCACGTTGATCTGGTGGGTCGTCGGCATCCGTTTGTTGAGCTGGTAGAAGATGGTCGAAATCACAGCTTCCAGGCGAGCCACGTTCAGCTCAATGTTGGGGTCCAGGTTGTTCAGTGCGTTTTCCCGCAAGGCTTCTATCACATTCCAGATGTCCACCAAGTGCACTAAGGGACAGGACAGAAAGAGTCAGTGGAGACACGTGCTCCTGAAAGCAACTGAGAAAAAAAGTCACCTCATCCCACAGGGTAGGGAATAACACAATCACACAGGACATGCTTCATGAATAATTAAACGAATTAATGTATTTTCCATCACTGAGAATTGAACCTGGTGGAGGAATGAGTAAATAAAATTCAAACCCGCTAATAAGCAAACAATATATTGATATTATTAGTTGTAATGAGTACAACTTCAGCTTGGGAAATCATTCCTCATTGTATAAAATATTCAAGTAAAAATCTATATTTTACGGAAACCACTGGAAGGTAAACACACGCTAATTGTTCTTCTGAACCATGCTTCTATGAATCCCCATTCAGAAATTACTCTTAGATATTAATTTGCATAGCAGATGGGCTTTTCAGAAGATCCTACGAATACTAAGTGCTTATCATCTACTGACATTTTGAAAATTCTTTTCAGCAATTTGTATGGAAAGCAAAATATTTTACAGAAACAGAATTGTAATTGAGTCAGGGAAGACAAGCTACATTTAAACAAAGAACACGTAATGAAGTGATCGCAAAGTTGTGTTTCCTGTCTTCTAAATATATTTGCCAAACGATTTTTAAATCTCTCTCCATGATGAAGTCCTACTCTGAGCTGAATTTTATGGGGACTGTTTTCACCTACAAGGACAGCTTAAAAGACTTCATATTGTACCCAAACAGAAATCTTGTTTGTGTAGCACTGTTACTGTGGCACTATGATCCGCTTTCCGCAGATTGACATTTCCAGAAGTGGTGGACCATGCCAAAAACAAAGAAACTCTACTGCCACTCAAAATTTGGATTTAGTTCAAACCTGGAATCAAAGAATCATCCCTTTTTTTTATCTTGAGTATTACCTACTGTCCTACTAAACTGTCAGTAAGAAACAAATCATGAGGTTCAGGGTGCAAATTCTCTTTTTTTTACCAGAGAAACTACTGTATAGTTCTTACTGCTTAACATGGTGATAAGTCTTATGACATATATAGCGCCATCTGTATGTGCAAGGAGATGCATTTTTTTGTGAGTAGAGAAATTTAATTCTAATCCTTATCATTATATTTTTACTTGCTTGGTTTGCAGGCGCTGTCTCAAACTGTGAAGTGGCACGATGGTCTGATGGCAGGGAAATGTAAGCTGATACTAGATAGATAATGCAATCAGTTACAGTCGTTTTACGTGGTCTAGATTTTTTCCCTATGATTGGGTTTCTTCTGCCTCAGGAAAAAAATAATCTCTAATGCCCTGGTACCGCATGTGTAAGCCCAAGGAGGAAGATATCTCATACAGGTGAGTGGCAACACCAGCAACTACTTCAGGCACTAGATGAGGCACTTTTCCACTTGTTGCTGTTCCCTAGCAAATAATCGGGAAAACCGGAAAGATGCAGTTCTTTAGATGCAGTTTGTGGCATCTAAATATTTATTTGGCCTTTCTATTAAAAAGAAACTTCTATAGGTGATTTTATATGCTGGCAGGTCGTCCTCAGAGTGTCATCCTGAATTAAGCCAGGTGGATGGAGTGTACAAGGTCTTGGAACTCTTTCTTTTTGTCTTCTAGCCGGGGAAAGAGCATCTTCCCCATAAAAAATCTGGCACAGGTCTCAAATCCTTATAATGCAGTCATTCCCATTCTCATTCTCATTCAATCAGTTGCCACAGAGGTAATGCCGATAAACGGGAGATGAATGATCTCCAGGAAGACAGCCGGCACATAACTGACCCTTTCTGGGCAGCTTCTCCACATGGCTCAGACGCCAGACTTGGCAGAGAATGAAAGAAGTCACCAGAAAGTAGGCCATCGTCTGGTCAAGGAGAGAAGAGTTAATGAGCATTTCTCACTTTGGGTCACCACTGTAAGGCAACCAAGGAAGAAATATAGAGCACTACATCAGAAGACGCAGCAATAGGCTGGACCATGTGCATGTAATTTGTGACCTTATTAAGAGGGGAAGGGTAGGCAGAAAGCAGAAGGTTAAGAGTGATGTTTCCCTCAAGGTCTAGCTGTCGCTGGCCAAGAGGGTTGTCTCTGGTAATTCAGACCAAACAGATGAAGGTGAAGGTGCTTCCACCATCAGTTTCACCAGGATGGTTTCTGAGTGCAAGGGTAGGTGCAAACTGTCGAACCTGAACTGCAGCTACACTAACAAGAAAACAACACGAGAAACAACCAGCCAAAACAAATAGCAAAAAGGGAGTAATGCATATGCAGATGGTTAACCTTGACTTGAGGCTACACTAACAAGATAGCAACTCGAGAAACAGCACAAACAGGGGTACTACCTTAACAGCACTGCTGACTGAGGCAGACATTACTAGGGCAACTCTATCATAAATACTGAATAAGGATGTAAAATCAGCAACATTAGAGCTAGTGGGAAAAGAATAAACAGGGACAGGCCGTTTATCTGGGAGTGCACGAGCATGGTAGAGCAAAAAAGCATGGGAGTGGAAAAGGGGAATTTAAAGGGTAACAAATCATGTCATCACAGCTGCTTGGGGTACCTTTAACGCAGCTCTGCACCTGACCAGTGCGGAGGAACGAACGCGGCAATAAGCCTGTTGTTTTGACCATACGTGTGTTTACTTCTGCAGCCACGGGGAACTGTGATAGTTTCCCTAGCACTGATAAAAGGACAGCCAGGGAGGATGAACCAGACATCCAGACTCTCTAACAGTGAGAATTTTACGCAGCTAGTTAACTTTAATTGCTATAGCCTAGTAGTGGAAAACTCTCATGAGCACGGAGGAAGACAGCTGGCATATAAGGAACGAGGCTGAAATGGGGCTTGGTGTCTATTCTTTACATGATCCAGTACGGATACTATGCGGTTGTTAGATTTTCACATTTTTATTTTCTTTTCGCACTGATATTATATTTTTCATAACATAGTAATATCCAGAGTTGGTTTTGATGATGGTCCTGAGAAGGGAAATATCCAGAGATTAGCAGACATGGGAATAATACCAGTACACTAACACATTTGAAAGAAAAATACTGGTTTCAGTGTTAACTCTAAGCTGAAAGCCTCATAAGCTATCCTGATATTCATTGGTATGCCAGAAAGGTAGGGCACAAGAATAAGAAAATGACTTATTGGAAATTACATAGCAGTAACAGTCCCCCACCCACTATAAAATATTAGTCTCAAGGAACTGCTGTGCATTTGTACTATAAATAATTTTACTTGGGCTTTTTTTTTTTCCCAGAAACACTTTGGTTCCACTTGAAGCTGAATAAACAACAATTCTACTGCACCATTTTATTTTGCATTTTATTCATGAATTTGAAATCTCTCTATAGAGGCTAGAAAGTAATACTTCCTGAAGGAGGAAATGGAAGATGGACAAGATCCAGATTTTTAACAAGATCTGCTAATTTTGAAAATATCTGTTGAAATGTCTGGCTCAAAATCACAAGGAGCGTTTGTTAGACTGTCATACAGAGGACTGAAGTCTCTGGCCTCTACTCAAGTCAGTTGTTACAGGCAAGAATTCATCCATTTAAAATTAAATGTCAAAAATTAGGTGTCCACTGTCAGCTGCTGATCAAGGCTCCCTCTAACGTCAGTGGAAGAAAAAGGCACCTTAAAGCAGCTGTCAGGAGACAGGACCAACAGTGCTTTGGAGGTGCCCGTATTTCTTCATTGACTCAGACAAAGCCTAAAGCAACAAGTTTACGTAAGACACGTATCGCAGAGCTGGTAAAGTTTACTGAGTTGAATCTCACACCTTGCTCTTTAGACACTAAAAAATGGTATCTTTTCTGTTCTGACCACTACATGGCCAAGAATAATTCAGATTTTATATAAAACGTGAATAATAAATGCTTTAATCTGTATGAACAGCTACCAAATCCTGTCATAGTGACAGTCTCTTACACTGCATTGCTTAACCTTGTGCAGATTACATCTGGCTGTAGTGCTCTGCTGGTTACTTTGAATCCTATTTTTTTAAAGTTTATTCACATAGTAAGCAGAGTCTTACATATTATATCATGCTATAATGCTATAGTCAACCTATCAACAATGGGAAACACAGAGAAAAACACAGGCCACTGCAAGCTCGACTCTATTCATTTCTACTATGAGAAATTTATGCCTACAGCTAATATGATATATTATGATATCTGTCTTTTCAATGTAATAACAGAATGTCAACTTTGCAAACTGCATAAGTTCACATTCCTCTCATTTTAATTTTCATCCCCTCTGTTACCCATTTGCTATAATACCTGCTACACCCATTTATTTATTTATTTACTTGTCCCTGAGATTGCTTTAATCTCATTGAAGAAGGCAGGTGTCCTTCCTTTTTTGCACAACAGGTAGTCCAATAAAACCCGAATCTGATTTCTACATACTACTATGATGCTAACAAAAAGAGTTTGCAGTGTAATGAAGAGCTTACAGATGCAGGAGAGCTTTCTCTGTCCTAAAATCTGCCTTAAATTCCCTCAACAAAGTCAGACTCTTCAAGTTTGTTTTCAACTTCTCGTTGCTGTTGCTGCTTTTGTTTCCCTCCGAAAAGCGAATTATCCCTTAACATGAGAAAGATGCCCTTTCTCAAAGGGATCTTTAAAGCTACAGAAATCTGCCAATTGTTTCTTCCGTATCAGCAGAAGATCACTAGGCAGCAGGAGCAAAAGCTGCTTGTATCTAGCACCTGTGTGGCAGAAGGCAATCCAAAATCACGCAGCCCAGCCAATCTTTACAGACCCTTCAAAGGCCTCGCACTCCGAAAATAGCACAGGTATCCCGGTGTAGATCTCCCTCATTTGCCTGATGTTTGAAAAAAAAGTAATGATTTCCATGAGCAACATTTCCCCTTAGATTTTCTGTGAAGAGATTTCTAAAGTCACAGGTAAACTAAACATCCGCATTATTAGATTTCCTATGGTAAACACTGTCTGCTAATTTAGCTTTTATGAAATTAAGTAGCATTTAAGCACTGTCA